TCCTGACTACTCCAAGTTGCATACTTTTGGCTGCATTTGTTTTGTTCATTTGCCTTCTCATGAGCGTCACAAACTTGCAGCCCAGTTTGTTAGGTGTGCTTTTATGGGATATAACACTGCACACAAAGGTTTCTTGTGCTATGATGTTGCAGCTCATCGTATACGGATTTCTCTCAATGTCATTTTCTTTGAAAATGAGTTTTATTTTCAACAACTCATCTCTCCTTCCAGCAGGGTTATCCTTCCTAGTTTTGATGACAACTATCAAGTTCAACAGCCAACAACTGAGCGTTTTAAACCCGGCATTGTTGACCAACGACATTATTCTTCTACACAAGTTCAACATCCTAATCCATCTACAGCTATTCTTCGTAGATCTTCTCGCATCAGCCACCCTCCTGAACGGTATGGTTTTTCTGCCGTTCTAGCTGATACTAGCGTACCTACTTCTTCCTCTCAGGCCAAAACACAAGTATGCTGGATAAAAGCTATGGAAGAAGAACTTCAAGCACTTCAAGAGATTCATACTTGGGATATCGTTTCTTGTCCTACTGGTGTTAAACCTATCGGATGTAAGTGGGCATATTCCCTTAAATTATGATCTGATGGCACGCTTGACAGACATAAAGCACGATTGGTAGCTCTTGGGAAAAGACAGAAGAATGGGGCTTACTGTGAAGAGACATTTGCTCTAGTAGCGAAGATGACAACTGTGGGACTTGTTCTAGCTATTGCTGCTTCTAAGAGCTGGTCGTTGAGGCAAATGGATGTTAAGAATGCTTTTCTACATGGAGATCTTAAAGAAGATATTTACATACTTCTACCACCAGGATTATTCTCTACACCATCTTCTGATGTTTGTAAGCTTAAGCGTTCACTATATGGATTAAAACAGGCTCCACGTGCTTAGTTTGATAAGTTTCGATCTACACTCCTTAGCTTCTCTTTTGTTCAGATTCGCTATGATTTCTCTTTGTTTCTTTGCAAGACTGCAAAGGGCATTGTCATGCTCTTGGTATATGTTGATGACATTGTCATCACAGGGACAAACACTCAATTGATTTCCCAACTTCAAGACCGACTTCAGAGTGCTTTTCATATGAAAGACTTGGGTTCTTTACATTATTTTTTAGGTCTTGAAGTGCAATCTACCTCATCTGGCACATTCCTACACCAGCATAAATACACCAAGATTTGGTTGCTTTGGCTGGCCTTCAACGTAGCCGTTCAGTTGAAACTCCATTGGAAGTCAATGTCAAATATCGATGTGACGATGGTGATTTATTGCCAAATCCTTCTTTATATCGACAACTTGTTGGGAGCCTAAACTATCTGACTATTACTATACTAGATATTTCTTTTGCAGTTCAACAAGTCAGTCAGTTTATGCAAGCACCTACCACTCTTCACTTGGCTGTTGTCCGTTGCATCATTCGGTATATACAAGGCTCATCTACTCGTGGGCTTTCCTTCCCAGCCAATTCTTCCACACAATTAGTTGCATACAGTGATGCTGATTAGGCTGGGTGTGCTAATTCGCGACGTTCTGTCACTGCTTGGTGCATGTTTCTTGGTAACTCTCTTGTTTCTTGAAAAAGAAAGAAACAAGATCGCGTGTCTAAGTCATCTATTGAGTATGAATATCGAGTTATGTCCTCTGCATGCTCTGAAATAATTTAGCTTCGTGGGTTACTAGGTGAGCTTGGATTTCCACAAACTAAACCTACTCCGCTTCATGCTGATAACACTAGTGCTATTCAAATAGCTGCTAATCTGGTGTTTTATGAACGCATTAAGCATATCGAGGTAGATTGTCATTCTATTCGTGAAGCATACGATGATTCTATCATCTCTCTTCCACATATCCCCACAACTCTCCAAACTGCACATGTGTTTACTAAAGCACTTTCTTCGAATCGACATCAGTTTGTAGTTGACAAAATTGATGCTTCTTCACCATCCAACATCAATTTGAGGGGGGATAACAAGGCAGAAATTATGGAGTAACTTATGGCTGACCTTTAATTGTAAAGGAGTAACTTATGGTTGACCCTTAATTGTAAAAGTGTAACTTATGGCTGACCATTAATTGTAAATATTCAGAGTTATGTTTTAGGAGTAAATAAGACGGTAGACTAGGAGCTAGACTAGCAGCTTACCTAAGATAGATTGTACACAAATTACTATTTAATGGAAAAGAGCCTAAGGAAAAAGGCATTCTGTCAAAACTTGTCATTGTGTAGTGTCAGGGCTCGTCGGGTCCAACGTTGTGCTGCGCCATGCGACAATGTTACTGTGGACGCTGGCTTGAACATGCAGAACACGCAACGCCAGCCTGTTGCTTGACAAAGTCGTGCGCGCTGCGCTTGTCGCTTGCCTACGAGTGTCACCGGGAACATGGCGCCCTGGGTGTGATTCTCGCACGCGTGGAGCGACGCCTGCGAGGAACTTGTGCGCCGGCTTGCACGCGCCGCAGGTATGCGCGTCTACGTGCACCGCATGTACGACAATACCCAGCTTTGTTGGGGTTCAATTAGGAACGTCGAGTTTCGTGCAAGTCACATATCAAGAATCTACGAACAATAAGCCTAATTACAATGGACTATAGATTGGATTTAATATTCACAGCTTAAAAATTCGCAGACTTTGAGTCGTTTCTGATTTTCGTTAATGGAAATCTTTTAATCGCTCGTCAATCGCAGAAATCAGAAACGAGTGGCTGGAGTTGCGGGGTCGTGCGGGTCGCCGTGGCAGGACGCGTGCATTGCGGGTTGCGTACAGGCGCTCGGGTCGCGCCTGGGTGTGCGTCATGCGGTTAGGCGTCACGCTTGGATGTGCGACGTGCACGGGCAGCAGGTCACGGCTAGGCGCTTGGGCACAGCAGACAATGCTCGGACGTGGATTACACTGCGTCGGATGGAGGCTAAGTGGTCGGGTGGTCGGGAGCTCTCGAGTTTACCTCGGGACTTCTATTGTATGACCTCTACACACTTTGTTTGCTTTTGGCGGCTAACACACAAAGTTCTCAATTTTTATAAGTTTCATCACCATCAGATATGTATTTATAGGCTACAATAGGGACCATAAGGAGTTGCCAAATATGAGCCAAATTTTGGCCAAAGCCAAAATGAACAATTCTTTAGTGAACTAAAGAAAAACCATTGATCTCTCCATTTGGCTCTCACATTACATTTTGAGGATCCGATAATAATTACCCGCTTTACCCTCTAATGTATGTCAATTAATTATTTACTGATAATATATTAATTGACTTCTTGTGTCAAGACTAGTACTACACAATGCTTTATTATTATGTGGGGACTTAATCCATCTGCAAGGTTTAACATAATAATCCTTCTTGAGCTCATCTCGTGGACATCATCAGACTATTGCACACGGTGACCGTAACTAATTGAACATCACACCATACTTACAACATCACTACCCAAAACACATTAGATTATTGATCCTGCAAAATGTATCTCATTTTTGGTGAATCAGAGTAGCAACTATTATATGCATGTTCCTGTATATATCTTACGAGTTAAGAGTACGCATTAATTTATCGAGGTCCAGTTTGTTTACAAATCAGTTCAAAACAAACTTATCCTCTCTGGGATCCATTCAATGCACATAGTGCACTAGTGTATACACGCGATATCTATTGTCACCAGACGTTTGCCTCCCCATCGAGATAGTTGTCAACAAATTTAACTCTCTCGGTCTTTGGGATGTCGTTGATGTGGGTTTATCAGGCCCAATGCCACGAACTTTCGGAATACAATGGGATCTATTGAAGGAAAGCAAAGCTCAGAGCGGTGGTCGAGACAATGTAATCGAACCATGGTTTGCGGAAATATTAGTTGGCATGACTCAACCACGCATCCGAATCCGCGCCCTTGAACGTCAGTAATGTTAGTTGCGACTTCTCGAACCAATGCCTCTCACGGTGATTGGAGCCCCATGATCGGTTGTAGGATTCCCCCTCGAATTGGTCGTGTTCACCCTCGAAATCGGATGAATCCTCCGATGATGAGTTGAAATTACCCCCTGTCGTGCCCGTCGCCCATCCGTGCCGAGCATTAGCCGCTCGAGTCTGGCTATGGTCTAGTTCGTGGAGTGGAGTTCGTCGCTCATGTTCCTCAAGCTCTCCTCAAAATTGTCCAGCCTCTCACGATTTTTCATGGTGTTACACGATCAATCGCTCTCAATGAAAACACTAATGATGAAGATCGTGTATCGTGGATTTGTTTTTGTGGGAACGCGCACTAACAGTCTTGGTTAACACAAGAGATTTTGTGCTCGAAAAAGCGTTTTGCTATTTCTTATTGCATAATGAAATCAAAGATGATTACATAGGCTATTTAAAAAAGAGAAATACTAAGAGCACGTTTGGTTGGGAGGATAAGGTAGGATAGGCCCTTCAATCCTGTGTTTATCATTCGTTTGGTTCATAGGTTACGGGCCCAATACTTTATTTGAAGCCCACGATAAAAATGGCTTTATCCTGAATATGTGGGATAAAATAATCTCCTCTCACTCCCTAGGATTGAAATTATCTGTACAGGACCAAATAGATTAAATTACCAAATTAGGAATTACCAAATTAATCAAATACCTAGCTAATTATAGAATTATAATAATAACTAAACTAGGAAATTAAGTTAGCTTGCTTTCGAGACTCGCCGACCTTCATCCACATCAGCATGTTAGTAAGTTTTAGCCTCGGACTAGGGTTCTTCTCTTCTAGTGGCAGGGTGGGATCAAGGAAAAGGGAACGAGATGGATTAATTTTACAAGATGTACATATTTTATGCATTTTTCAAATTTTTACAAGTTTTTCACGTTTATCGAAGTGGCCAATGATAATGGTCATCAAATGTTGACATTTCATCAAATGGCCAAGTTAAATTACAGCAGTCTGCTGCATATTAGTGGGGGCACAGCAGAACCCCAGAATCCGTGAATGAGAACGAACTTAATTACTGTAACACATGTAATTGCAATAGCGCGAAAGCTCAGCCCTCTAGATTTATCTTTTATCATTATAGAATATAGAATCTGCAAGTACTCAGAATTGTTGCCCTAACATTGCAATAATTTGTACCCATTGTTTGACATTAAGTTCAGCACACACATACCACATTCCATTCTGTAGATCTGAAATGACAACGACAAATTGACAGAATCTCAAGATTTCCTTTTTTCCATCCGTAACCACAAGCTGTGGTAAATCAATGGGCCTAGCAAGATGCTACTAACTTCAACACACAGAATTACAAGCAAATTGTACACATATTATTCTGTGGACGATTTCGTATTCTTTCTCACAAAGAGCTTGCTTATGTCTTCTGTCACAATATTGCTCCTGCAGAATATCACAATTGACATCAGCATATCCATGCAAGAAACCGTACAGAATCTGAACCAACAAGAAATTGCACGAAACAATGTTAAATCTTGTGCTGCAGAACATACAAATGGCCCAAAACCATTTTTTATTTTTTATTTTTTTCCTTCAGTTGCCTTACTACTTTAAGGCACAAGCCAAGTCGCTAACATATAGCAATGACATGAAAGAAGGAAAAGCTATTGAAGGTTTCTAGCGCAAACCAAAAATAAGAAAACAAAACATTTTATCAAGGAAAATCAATAATGCAGCGAAAACGGCAGTCTCAAAAATAAAATTAAACAAATAGACAACTTGATAAATATATTATCAAATGATACACACCTTCCGGCAAGCTGAGGTGGAAGCAAATGACTGCCTACGGTATCTGGAACACCTTTTGAGTGTGGCAAGGCCCCTTTTGGAAGTTTACTACGTGGGGCATTTGCAGTTGGCTCAATTAACTCTCTCTTTCTAGCAGCACTTTCGGCCATGGCAGCTGCAACTCGAGATGAGTGATCCGAAACATTCGACAGATTAGATGGCAAAACGGGTGAGTTCAAGAGAAATGAGGCATCAGGAAGTTTCAGCTCAGAAGACTGATTGGAAACTTTTTCTGCCTTTTTAGTTGAAGGTGGTCCCAGATTTGCAGATGTCCTAGATAGTGAATGTATGAATAAGAAAGTAAGAAAATTTCATTACAAATAATATTATACATCCGCTAAACCTTCAAAGGTAATAACTACAGAATACGGATAAAAGAAGGCAAAAGACAAAGAGAAAACATATACCATTTTATAGGGAAATGATATTCACACTGAAGAGACGTCTAAAATAGTGCCTTCAAGAAGCTTTTAATGTATTCTACAAAATTGATAATTCAGCATCAGAAATTAGAATCACTATCGCATTACTTCTTCCAGGGACCGCCGCAATTCTTCACCCAATTTCTCGACACAAAGTAGAACCACCATGGAAAAGAATAATTGAAGGAGAAAATCCAAATAAAATTCTATATCATTTCTTCCTTTACTAACCGGATAAGAATAAAATTCTATGACATTCTTGCTTCTTCTATTAGCATGACACATTAACTTAGCTCATTGGAAAAATCTAAAAACTAATGACATTCATCAATATGCAGATACACCACTTCAGATGCTGGGATTTTCTAACCAGAACTCAGTAAAAATACCATTACCCAAGGTGGACTTGTCTTTTACTTTACTGCACTACCAAGGCCGATCATTGCTTTAACGCAGATTATAAGTCCAAACACTACATATGAATATTCAATCAAGGAAAACATAAAATGTGGCCAAATTTTGATTGTTTACTAGCCTCATCTATAACCTTACATCAATAACAAATAACAAGAAAAAGAATCTTGCTCTAGTAGTATAGAATAAAGAACTTCCAATGGAGACTCAAATTATAGTATATAAGAAACTAGTGGCTGTAACATTAAAGTGTGAAATCGGTGAGAAAAGGCTATATCACATCCTAAACCATCCTCACCTGGACACATTAATGGCTGTTCTATAGACAAGGATAGATATGAAATGAACAGTAACACTGTCTCAACGGATAAGAATGAACAAGAATAATATCATTATATCGTCCTACAAAATTTGGGTGTCATTAATCTCTAAAGCAGCTAAGCATACTTGCTTTGGAATTTTCAGCATTTTGGATTTCAACACCAAACGAAACGCAGACTAGTAAGGTCAAATACAACCTTAAGCAGCTCACGATCAATTGTTCATATTTTCAGCCTTGCGGAGAATTTAAGAAATAGAAGTTGTTTATCAATTCCTGTTACTTATCCAGAATGAGGGCTGTGCATGATATAACTCTCTGTCTATATCCCATATTTTCCTGCGTCTTCCTTTTCCAATATTATATCTAAGGCATAGTAAACTAACCCATACTTTTCCACTTCCTCCAAACACACATACAATTTCCATGAGCCTCGAGAAGTTACAGATTAGCACCCTTTCGTCTGATTTAAAATTCCGAAATGTTACACATATTATACAGATTCTTGAAGATTTATCCTCTCCTTCTACCACTTCCTACTTGTAGAGAAAACAAAAACAATAACATATTATGCTTGTGGATTTTATTTTATCAGAACCATCAACTATTTCTGAAAATACCACTAAAACTAGCTGATTTGGTACTTTTTCTCTTTCTTTTTTCTTATAAAAAGTACCCTTCATCACCAATCAGTGACAGGAAGAATTAACACTCCAAAAATTTCTCAAACAAATCACCGGTCTAACAGCAAAAGGCGAATTCACAAGCAAAGGAAAAAAACTAATAATGTGAACGGGAAAGAACTCGTTGGGGGAAAATTACCTGGTGTTAGAACGAATAGAGGCATCGTTGGATGATGGGGCTGGCGCGGGTACCTCAATTTCAGGGTTTTTCTTCAGCTGTTCATCTTCTAGCCGGTGGGTAGGGTTCTGTGGCTCGTCGTCTTCGTCTGAAGAAGCTGCGTAATCCACCAGCGACATAACAACACCCCAATCCTGATTTTCTCTCTTTCAGGTTCTCGCCGGAGTTTTCTTTCGGTACCTCACTCAGTTGAGGCTACGGGTATGTTTGGTTAAAGTAAGGAAAAGGGAGGGGGTGGATTTTAATGGAACCGAGGTGAGGGAAGGGGAGAGGAGGTGATGTCACTTTGTTTGGAGAGATTTTATATGAAGCGGGTAGAAGAAAAATAGTAAATTTTGTTTAGTTAGAAAAATAAAAAGGAAAAAAAATATTGTAGAAATTATAGTTATACCCTTAATGATGTCAGAAACAAAAAAATATATACTCTTCTATCTTTAACAAGTGTCATTTTGAGAAGTTGCACAGTAATTAAGAATATTTTTTTTGCTAATAGTAACCCTTATTAATGAAGATAGAGATATATGTTTTGAGAAAAAAAATGAAGAGTGGAGATGACAAGACTGTAGTGTATTTTTTAGCTGGATGAGAGTAATAATGAAAAAAATATGTACAAAAGATCAAAAACGTCATTTATTTGGTTAATTGTTGATAAATCTAAAATGACATTTAAAAGAAAAATAAGAAGTAGTATAATTTACATAATTAGGTCAAAAGAGTAATTTTTTTGTTAAAAATTTCCTCTCCCTCCAAATTCCCCTATTTTTGGAGGGGAGAGTATTTTCCTTTAGAAGAGAGATTTGAAGGGAAGATCCTAACCCCTTCTCGACAAAAAATTGAACCAAATAGCTTAAAAAATTCCCTCACCTCCCTTCCCCTCCCATCCGTTTCCCCCGAACCAACACTGCGTAAGATATAATTTATTTACCCATCTTTCAATAAGAATTGGGCGTTAGTATTCAACGTCCTCTTTTTCCTACTACGTACCACTCTTCTTTAGATAGTTTTGCTCCTGTCAATTGTTTTCCAAAAAAAAAAAAACACTTTGCTCGCGTCAGCGAAATTGGACGCGTCCGCAATTGTGTGCTGACCACAGCAGTGCACGGCCGCAATTATCGATTGGCTGCACCGTGACGACCGAAATCGCCGGACGGTTGTACCATGCACGGCCGCAATTGTGGGCTTCCTTTTGGGTAAGTTTTTAACTGATTGATCTCCTAGAGAGTTAAGGAGATTTTCCTTTCATTTGCACCATAAACCACACGGCTCCCCCTCTTACTTTGCCTTAAACAAATCTAAAAAATTCACATCTCCCTCCCACTCTTTTCTCGCAAGAAAATACCAGAAGAAGCCCCAAATCCCATCGCTCGACTCCCCTCATCTCTCTCGCTGCCCTTCTACCGTCGGCTATAGCCCGCATGACATGCGTCTTATTTACGTGCATTTTATGTGATTTTTGTGTCCGTTTCGTCATAGTTTGATATACAATTAATTATTGTTTAATTAATTATTATATAATTAATTATGTATTTAATTAATTTTATTAAGTTATGATGAAGTGTGTTATTTTGAGTTTTAACAGGAAAGGGCGTCGAAATAAATATTAAAGGCGAAAACAGACGAAGGTTGAGCATGGACAGTACATTGGGACAAGCCCAAGGCATAGGCTGCTTTATGTGAGGGCCCATAGTGATTTGTATGCTTATTTTCAGCCCACACAATATCCCATTATGGCTTATAAATACAGCCCAACTCATCAAGTTAAACAAGGGCAAGGTGGTAATTTCAGAATTTTGACTTCTTCTTCCTCATGAGGAGATACACGCATATCGTCATTTTTGCTGCAATCTGCCCGCTGCTAGTCTATCTCACGGCGCCACCACACATCACCGGACCACCTCATCGCTATCTGCATACCTGAACAGACATCTGACACCATTCGGTCGCCGGAGAAGTCGCCTGGAGATCATGCCGGAATTTGCCTGCTGCCGTGGAGAAGAAGCTGCGTGGCCGGAATCTGACCGACAACTCGCCGGCGAACCACCTGGACGCTATGTCAGACAAGCGGAGACCAACTTTCTGACTTTATCTGCCATTCCGTCGCCGGAGAAGCAGCCTGGACATCAAATACGCGACGAAGAAGATGTTGACAGAAGTTGACAAAAGTGGTCGGAACTCGCCATGGCCGACGACCTGTACGCCGTCGACGACTGGGAGGCCATCTAGCCCGCCTTTGACGTCTGAAAGCTGCCAGGAGGTGAAAAACGCGGCGAAACTGAAGTTCAAAACTCACACGGTCGTGTGAGCCCACAGTCGCTAATTGAGCTCTCGACTTTGTCACACGACTCGTGTGACATGTGACACGAGTCGTGTGACCCTGGGCGCGATTTGTACGACTTTGACGCGTTTTTCCGATTTTTATGGTATTTTCGACCTATTTCGACTATGACTCGACCTCAACTATTTAAGGAACACTTGGGCACGTTTTTTAGGAGTCTTGAACATATTTTGGAGATCTTTGGAAGCTAGAAACATGAGCAAGACGAGGGAGAAAGCCGGGAAGAAAGGATCGACGGAGCCGAATAAGCTTTTTCTTTCTTTTTCTTTTTCCTCTTTCGAACTCAATGTTTTATATTTATTTTTCCTATTTTAAAATCATGTTTCTAAGCTAGATTTATTTTAAATTCTAGGATTTGTTAGTACTCGGATTAATTTATGATTTAGTTTTTATTTCTTTCATTCCGGTTTATCTTTCGTTTATAAATTTCTTGTGCTTATTATTATTGTGTGAGTAGATGACCACTATGAATGCATATTTGTAATTGATTTGAGACCGAGAGGAGATAATTGATTGCTAGAATTGGGAGATTTATAACGTAACAGAATTAACAGACCGAGAAGTTGATAGGACCTTACGAGAGAACGAAAATCCTAGGAACTTATGGGAGTTAGTTGTCCATCTTGAGACCGAGAGGAGATAGATAACAATTAATATCTACGATTTGACTTGTTCAAGAGAAAGGTTTGAAATCAATTTAGCGATTATCTCTACGATTGGTAAAATTAAATAAGGTTTGTTTGAATATAAACGTTTCATGAATTAATTCCGAGGAACGCTTAGCCTAGAATCTATCTTTTGTATCTTATTTTATTTTTATTTTTTTAGATAAATTAGTTTCTAGTTTCATTCTTAGTTTATAATCATCATTCAATTCACTAGTCTAGATAATATTTAATCGTCACTATTTTAGTACTTAATTAATTTAACTACAATCTCTGTGGAATACGACCTTACTCGCCACTACCTATAGCTACGCCGTACACTTGCGGATAGCGAAAATAATTAGCGAACACCGCACAACGTCGCCGCGCCGGATCTGCCTACACACAGGCCATTTGCAGCGAGACCCAGCCCCGACCTATGTTCGCCTCGGTTGGCCAGCCCTTGTTCGACCAAGCGAGCCGCTGTTCACGTCGAGGAGCCCGATTCCCCGCTCGATTGCCAATCGCCGAGACGAGCCGAGCAAAGTCGCCGAGTCACCGTACGCGCGCACCATACCTTGCCACCTTGATCCAATTCAGAGTCGCTTGTAGATTCGTGGGTGCAAGGTATTAAGGCTGAAACCCTCTATTTTCGGTGTTATCTTGCATGTTTGAGATAGATCCCTTGAGTTTTGCATTGGATCTATGATATTATGTTGAGATCTATTCTGTTGATTTGAAATATTGATAAATCTCGCATATTCTAGTGAATTCCTGTGGAAATTGGAACCCTTGGTGTGTTTTGAGTCTAATCTTGAAGCCCTAGGTCTGATCTTTATGCATATGAGTCATATTATGCCTTGTGTTAACCTTATTGCCTCAGAAACTCCGAAATTCATGAAAACTCGTACACTTGTCATTTTAATCTGAAATTTTGAGGTTTATCTCCTGTTATATTAAGGTATGATGTGTTAAAATTTCAGCCCTTAAATCGATCTGTAGCTATCTGAACCGAAACATGCTCCTTATGCCCTAAAACTTTGAAAAATTGTATAAAAAGATTGGTCCGTCCTTTTTATCTGACATTGTGAGGCTAAGTCTATGTTATGATGATCAGGTTGCTGTTAAAATTTCCAGGGTTAACTCGTTCTCTAACCCCTTGAACCAGAAAACCCTCTTTATGCCCTTTCTTTTGCAAAAATTTGATTTATTGGTTAGGGTTGTATTTAGGGGTCCATCTCTTGTGTTCTGGTCCCTTTTTGAGTGTTCTTTATTGTGTGAAAATTTCATTCAATTGTCCCAAGCCAAACTCCAAAAGTCTCGGTCGAGACGTGTAGCTGCTAGTGGCCTCGGGCCGCAGCCAGTGACACCCCGCACGCCTCCCTGGGCCGCGCCCCCTGCCGCCCCGTGTCGCCAGCGTCGCCGTGTGCGTGTCTCCGTGTCGCCAGTGTCCCCTGTTTGTCTCATTTTTGTGTCTTTATTTCATCTTTATTTTCTCTTTGTTTTTCCCCACTTGTAGGATTTTAGTAGCTTATTTTGTCCATTTCTTTTGTTTTGTGCTTTTGTCTTTAGTTTATATTTTTGTATCTTTTTGCCGTGTTTTGCTTCGTGTTTTTTCCGTGTTTGTGTTTTCAGGAGATAGGTCGTGCCGGTCGAGGTTAGGATTGCTTGAGCCGAGACTTTGATATCGAGAATTCCCGTGGCCGAGCCCAGAAAACGACGATGAGAACGGAAGGACGGACTGAAAAACTGTTCCCAGAATTTCTCGCGACTCGCGACTCGGTTCGTGACTCGCGAACATGTCACGACCCGCGAGAAAAAACTGAGGCTAAAGGTGCATATGCGAGGCAATGTCGCGACTCGCAAGATGGAGTCGCGACTCGCGACTTTGGTCGCGACCAGCCCCAGAATATAAAGAAAATGACGACGCGCGACTCGCGAGGAAGTCGCGACTCGCGACTGGGAAGAAGGTGATGTCGCGACTCGCGACTGGGAAGAAGGTGATGTCGCGACTCGCGACTTAACCAGCGCGAATTTCGAGGACGGGATTTTTAGAGCAGATTTTGATCCTAGGGATTATTATTCACTTCCAGACTTTATTTTTTACGCTTTTTCTCGAGAGAAACTCATTTCTTTTCATCCTTTTGACTTTTCAATTGTTTTGGAGATTGAAAAACTCCTATTTCTTGCTTTGGATTTGGATGCACTTGGATTTGACGTTGGATTCTTTATATTAATCGTAAGTTCTTTTTCTCAATTGCTTTGTTGATGATGATGACTTGGGTTTATATGAATGTTGATGTTAAATTCGTTATGAGTAGCTAAATTCATTCGCTAGGGATAGGGGATGATTGATTAGGTTTGATAATGATTGAATA